ATTCCTGCTTACCTGCACATTTTGCTGGACCGCATCTGGAAGTTTCCAGTGTACCCTTTGCTGCTGCTGCCTTTGTCACTTGGACTCTGAAAGGATTTTTGAAGCGTGGCATGCTGCAGAGAGCAGAGGATACAGCTGGGAATTGATAAGGGCAGGGAAGGTGGGCTTTTTGGGAAGAGTGAGAGTTGTGAGCTGTGGAGATGTGTTTTATACCTCAGTTTGTAATAATTTGATCAGGTATAGCCAAGAATAGTGTCTCAAGCTGATACCTACAAAATGTTATTAAAAGAAGTGACTGAGTCACAGGCAACGCAAGTCCTCGCTGTGATTTCACTGCCTAGACTGGTCTTATCCTGGTGAAACTACAGACAGAGCTTAGGCAACAACAGAGCAGATTGCCCTTAGCAGCACCTGTGGGAACAGACAGGAGGGCAACAGCCCATGCAAAAACAGTCCATCAATAGACCAGATAGCAGAATCAGTGGGGCTCTCAGGCCAGACCTGGCTCTACCAGGAAAGTGCATATTGTGGAACAGAGCCTTACTGGAACCCTTTACCTGAACTGAAATGCAGGAATGTCTCTTAGAGGCTCAAACTACTACTGCCCAATGTGCAGCCCATGCAGGGTTAAGAGAGACTCAGGATCTGGATGCAGCCTCGTTCTGTGCCAAAGTTCGCTATGTTGTTATGACATGCCACCTGTGTGGTATAGCTATTGTTGTACTAGTTGACTTAACCTTAAGTTAGCGAAGATTGAAGAGACAGATATGCAAAATCTGTATCACAAGGACATAAGACAGCATCTGTTGTGTGATTATTTTAATTCCTTTCTCTTTTTTCCTGTACCCATATTCAAAATAAAACTGTAAATTTCATAATAATATCAATACCAGAAATTATTCTCAGCACAAATTCCTAGAGCCGAGTGCTTTACAAAGCACTATTCTCACCATTTACTGGCGAAGGTACTTACCCAGAATCACAAAATAGCTCAGGAAAAGATACTTTGTTTAGAATTCAGGTCCTTTGAGAACCATTGTGTTTCCTAGTTTGTTGTGCAGTGTTTTCTTTACTGGTAATGCATAAACATCATGGGAACTGTTAATGTGTTTAGGGTGTGGAAACACCAAGACTTAAGACCTATCTTTTTTGACCTGTTTAGGAGCACCCACCACTAGTGCACTGACACCAAAGCCATAGAAGAGTGCTATCCATTACACACTGCAGTGTCAGCAGCTTGATTTCACTGGGGACTGTTCACTTTTGAGCATTGCTTTCCCCACCAATTAAATACATTGTAGGTCCAGGAAAGATCACATCAAGGTCTGGTCCCCTGCATAGTGTGAGGAGTGGTATCGTCAGTGTCAATATCCAGTTCTCCCTGTTTCACTACCATGAAAATTGTGAGCCCATTCTGTGAGCTGTGACCACAGTGTTATAATGTGTGTTCTCTGTAGTAAAACCTTCTTGTCTTCTCTGGTCTGTCCAGGGGTTTGGGCCACGGAGCCTTTGGTGAGGTATATGAAGGTCAGGTGGCAGGGATTCCCAGCGACCCCACTCCCTTGCAGGTGGCTGTGAAAGTAAGTGACAGTGTACAAGTTATCATGATGGTTTCATGCACCTTTCACCCAAGAGTCCCAATGCATTATAAAAATGAAGATGAATTAAGCATTACTATAGTACTGAAAGATGTGGCTAGAAAGGTTGCTGCTCTGTTGCAACACTTTAATCCATCATAGCGATGGTACAGCTTGTAGCATATGGGCTTGTGAGACAATTGAAAGAGGTCTATAAGTAGTAAATAGGCAAAGGTTTCCCATCCAGCTGCAGTAGACTGCAGGTATCAAAAATAAATCCATCCTCTGTCCATCTTCCACATGCTACACGTGGTGTGGTAGTCTGTCCAAAGCCTTTGAGTCAGAGATCAAAAGTCTTCACAGGGCCAAGAGCAGCTGGCACGTACATCAAAGAGCCTGCAGGTAGGTAGGAGATGGCTGGTTTTCCAGGCATCTCACCACTCCATTACAAGATGGATATGCACTGGATGTGAAGCTAAATCCTAAGAGACCCTGGTAGGATTCTCCAGGCCTTCAGCAGCCTAGCTAGCTTGTTTTCTCCTAGAGGTCACATAGCAGCACAGTCCTACTGCTGGTTATAGTTCATAGCCTTGCTGGGAGGTAGGAGTATTGTACTGTCAGAGAGCTCAGGAACTGTGGTCTCATTCCTCGTCCTCTATACAGCAGAGTCCCATATATTGAGCACTGTTACGTGTGCACTCTGGGCCATTTCCTTTGCTGGGAGGAGGATGACAGTGGCGTTGATAGGCCATGTGTTCTGATCTTTACCTTTCAACAGGCTTCACAGTCCAGTTTAGTAATGGTCTAGCTATTATCTTAGAGTGAGGTTTCCTTTAGAGAAACAAGGATTGCTGTAGACAATGTTAGTGCTTTTGATTGTGCCAGGTGTCTACATCTGTAAGTTTAAATATCTTCTTCTTGTCAACCTGTTCTTTCTTTTCCAGACGTTGCCAGAAGTGTGTTCAGAGCAAGACGAGCTGGACTTCCTCATGGAAGCTCTCATTATTAGGTGTGTATGAATAAGATGAACAGCACTTGTGTAGGCTTGCAAAGCCCAGCACTGTAAAGAAAAAAAGTGCTTTGAGAGGTGATGTCCATGCAATACATCTATACAGTAGTTTTAGCACATGGCTGTCAGTATTTTACAAAGAGGATAGACATTACCATCCTTTTCTATTCTTCTTACGAATGAAGAGGCACCAGATGATTAAGGGTTAAGTTTTCAAGAGGGTGCACACTGGCTTTCATTATCCAAAGTGAAAATCTTTAGACCTAGTTTTCAGAATTGATAATAGGATCCTTTGATTTCTCTTAGAGATCAGAACATGAGGTAAAACCAAACCCTAGGAATTTGGGTTTGACTTGTCAAAACTAACAGATGGCATTGCCTTAATGCTGCTGTCATATCACTTGTCAGTAACTGAGTCCTAGAATCCATGGAAATAGTTTCCCATCCCATTGAGGTCAGCACATGGAGAAATAAGGAAGTATTAGAGGCTAGACCTTGAGGAATATCCCCTACAGAAGCAGATCCCTGCGTCAGTAGGTTATTTGGAACAACTCTGCCCTAGCCCAGCTTCTGCCCCTTGAATAGGGAAATTAGGAGCAGATTCTTCTCTCTTATGAGTCATTCTCTGCTTCCTGTGACCCACAAGTCTTGCTGTAGCCCGAAAAGGATGCAGAATATAGGAAGAGGAAAAGCAGCCAGAAGTCACTCCTTCCCCAGACACAGAGCGCAGGGGTAGTGCTTTAGCTTTATCCAGTTACCCTACCTTTGAGATTTGTTACTTTCTGGGGAAAAAAAAAAAAACATTCCCCGCAGCAAAACATTTTGATTCTTTTCTGCAGTTGTGCTTTTTGGATCAAAGTTGCTCCTTAATTGAGTCTCCCTGTCTCCACAGCAAGTTCAACCACCAGAATATTGTGCGCTGTATCGGAGTGAGCTTGCAGGCACTGCCCCGTTTCATCCTGCTAGAGCTCATGGCTGGAGGTGACCTGAAATCATTCCTGAGAGAGACACGGCCTAGACCGGTAAGAAAAGAGAAAATTGAATTTTATTTAGTAAGCTGCTGCCACAAGGCAAATACATAACTACAAAAGAGCTGATCCATGCATACTATTTCCCAGCATTTTAGAAGGTCAAAAATTTCTGTTGCTAAAAGGCTACTGTGAGGGCAGGACACAGATTTATAGGGAACAGAAACTGCCGGGGTTATGCAAAGGTGCTTCATCCCTGGACTTCAGATAGTATCTGCAATGCTATCTAGCAAAGAAAGAACAAAATCAAAGTTTAAAAAAAAAAAAGTGAAGCTTTACTTCTGCCTTCTTCACATCGGCTGGGAGCGGGTTGGGGGGAAGCATTGAGCTATTAGTGATAAATCTGTTATTTAACTGCTGATCAGGTGCATTTCTGTGGGTATCTGTCAGTGCAAGTTTGACATAGACAAGAAGAGAATCCAGCCTGGAGCTGTTGACCCAATAGCAAATATCTTTAGTCCAGAGTTTTAAAGATTTTCCCACCGAAATTGGCATCAATAGGAAATGGCAGTCAGTTAGAAATATGTGACAAATCAATTACAGCTTCTGGAGAGGAATCAGTATTTCAGAAGAATAAAGTTTGCTCTGAGTCGCTGGATCAGAAAGGCACCCAGATGTTGTTGAAGTTTAGCACCAGGGCCCAGCTTCATAGTCTGTCTCTACACTTCTTTGACACAGGGCAAAATGCTGGATTTTATCACTACAAGAGAGACACAAATTGGCTCTAACAGATACAAATAAGATTCTTCCTCAAGGTATCTAGAAACAGATTGACTTTCTGTTTTTTCCTTGCAGTCTGGTTTTCAGACATATAAAATGGTTTGTGTTGCTCAGGAGCACTGCAGTCTTGGATAGCTTGCAATAAAGTGGCTCCTGCCTGGATGAGAAGGCTAAACCCCCAGAAAGCCAAGAGGTTTGAAATGTGAGCAAGCAGTCTTTATAAATAGAGGTTGGTTTTCTGTAGCACCTAGAGATGCTCTTGTCAGCTCATACAAATGGGCTGAACTTGGCAGTAGGTGAAAACGGAAATTGTGTTTTGCAATGTGGGCTCTGCTCTCACCCGGTGCAGAGCAAAATGACGTGGGCAAGGTATGCTGCCTGGTGGATGCTTTGTTCAAAACTTCCAGGACAGGCTGGGCTAAATGTGTGAAGTGGCAAGTGAAACAGGATGGTGTAGGGCAAGGGCATCCATCACTTTGCAATGGAACCATCTTTTTGGCTCGTTAAATTAGAGAGAGAAGCCAGCTCAGTAACGATCAGGATCTTGTGAGGAAGCACTAGGAATTATTACCTTCTTGCAGTAAAGTGAACCAGATGCTTTTGCAGATGAAAAGCCCTTAATCTTTATAGGATGCGGTCATGGGGGCCTTCTGATCTGAGGGGTTTCTTTCAGTTTGCCCCTGCCCCAGTCATGAGTTCCTCCTTGCATGCCAGGACTTCCATTTCTGTTAGCAGTAGCTCCATGCTCCCCCTGTGAAAGCTAATGTCAGAAGGGGTGGATGGTTCACTCCAGGCACAGCATACATTACTTCCTTGGTATTTCTCTTTCTGGCTTCACAGTCTCTCCTTCCTTTCCTCTTCTTTCCTTGTCTTTAGTGACCATAACTACTACTACACACAGGGGCCATTCCCAGCACTTTGAATATCCTCCCCTATTCCTGCAATTTAACTTGCTCCGAGGGCTGAAGCAGACCTGGGGCTGCTGCTGCTGCTTTCTGCTCTGTCCCATGCAAGTCACACTTTGGGAAAGCTGAGGTTCAAATGCAGATGGACAGTTGCAAGCTGGAACTGATTCAGAAAAACAGTTTACAGTCCCTCTTTAACAGCAGAGTGAATGTGAACAACCTGTCTACGTGAAGACAGATCCGCATGTTTCTGCTCCACTTCTAACACCTTCCTTCCCTTTGCCTCGCCCTGCTTCTGCTACCGTCCCGTGGGATGGCTGCCTGGTGAGAATGACAGAGTAATTCATTGTCTGGCTGCCAGGGCAGCTTCTGAGGGGCTAATGGCACTTGTGAGTGCTGAGAAGTCAGCCTCTGGTGCACATGTTTGACTGCTGGCTCAGAAACTATGAGGCTAGGAGACCGACTGATGAGAGCTGAGATGTGTGCAGGGTGTTGTGCTTTGTGAAGTGTGGGATCCAGCTGTGGAAGTGGATTTACCCTCAGCATATACTCGAGGTATGCCAGAGTCTCTGTACATGAGGTCTGTGGCTCAGTACTGCTGGATGTATCTTTGCACTGCTCTTAATGGACCCTGAGCTGCTTTGTTCCTCCTATTGCTCATTCAAGGAAGACAGGCAGAAGGTAGGCATAGAAGACTGGACGTCTAGCTTTCGAGGCCCATTAAAGGAAAGGAAAGGCAAGGAACAGTGCAGCGTAAACAGACTTTGATGAGCTTTGCTTCCAACAGGAATTAATTGCACACACAAGACCTAGCTGACTGATTCAGTAACAGAGGTGCACTGCTTACTGTGCAGTAAGCACCATATGAATTTCTGTTGTCATTTCCCCTTGGTTTTTTTCCAGGTTTTTATTTTTCCAGCTGATTTTCTTACTACCTTGTCTTTCCCACCTACATCTGCTTTCAGCCTGATTGCAAAAGAGAGATTTATGTGTTCATTCTCTACCTTCATCCCCCACTTGCTCTCCCCACTCCCCTGCTAGTAACTTCGAATTCGTTTGCCAGTTTCAGTCAAATTAAATTTGGCATTAATTCCAAGGCTTCAGGAAAAAGAAAGCCCCATGCTAGAGTGACCGCTAAGCAAAACAGTTCTCTTGTTTGGCTTGCCACTGGCCAGGGAGAACCTGCGTGACTTGGAGCAAGACACATGCAGCATGCTGCCATGCACTCAGCCACTGAGAAGAGTGGAAGGGAGCAGGGGAAATGGTGGAGGAGAAGGTGTAGCAGGGGAAGGGGGAACTTAAGACATTGCAAGGGACATGAAATGGGAAGCTAGAGCTACCACAGGAGATATCAGGACATGGGATCCGACTTAATGGGAGATCACAATGCTGCTAGCACAGGTTATTGCACATTGTTCATCTGTGTTCTTCATGCAAATAATGAAAGCAATGTTCAACCAACATATGATGATTTCTCTGGACTCTACGCAAGAATGATTATACGTGTAAGCCAAATGTTCATCCAACATCGCTGATACAATACCAGTGACTCTTGTGGAATATTGTCGGTTTATGCCAGCCGGGTCTATTCCATAAGCTTCAGATTCATTCTTCTCCATAAGTCCAGGGTTTACAGCCCTGAAGGGTTTCTGTGTTCCGTTTCTAATAAAGTTTCACATTTATTACAGGATTACCTCTTCCCTCTCGTCTGGAGAGAGGCAGTCTGGTAGATTCAGAGACGCCTGGAATTGGAGCCTTTGCTCATTATGAGCATTGCAGAATTGTCCATTCTGGGAAGTTCAGTGCTGATCTTTCTCACACACAGCACAGCAATCAAAGAACAGCTCTGAAAGATAAATTGTACACGGATAAATTATTCCTCTCCTTTGTGATGTGCAGCCTGTTGCACAGAGCAGTGATTACACTGAACAATACACAGAATTTCATTCACCTTTAGCAAGATTCCGCCTCAGCCGGGGAGGTGTCACACGACTGCCTCCAGCGTGCCCACTGCTCTGAGCAGCGGTGCATTGCAGCTGGCATTGTCCATTCGTCTGGGGACCAAAGGCTGTAATGAATCCTTTGGTGTCTCAAGGCTGCTCCCCTTGCAAAATGAATCCCAAACCTCCATTTTTCAAACAAATTACATGGCTAAATTGTCCTTGGCTGGGCAGTCACGTCTGTTTTAGGACTGTATTTAGCCAAATAAAAGGTGGAAGGAATTCATCCAAGGAGGGGAACAAAGGGGAAAAAAAGGGAAAAAGAGGAAAAAAAGCTATGCTGTTCAGACCAGCTTGTGGCTTCAGCCTACTGACTGCCTTGCAATATAGCTCAGGTCTGGAATTGATTGCACAGTAAAGAATTGGGCTTTTTACTCGGTTTTCACTTCAGGTTTCTGACCCTTGCTCAGAAGAGGAGGGAATGGGTAGATCGAGATATTCGTTTCCCTTCGGTTATGCCCTGAAAGGGAAAAAGAAGGTATCTGCATCCTTTCTTACTGTAGTCATCTTGTGTAGCTGGTGAGTCACTTTAACTCACAGAGGTAAAAAAGATGATGCCTCCTTCCCCACAAAAGGGCATGGGGGGAGAGACTTTATGTTTTCAGGAAATGGTTACTCTACAATAAGAAAGGTTTAGGGGGAGACACAGTCCTGTGTTTTAAAGAATCAGTTGCATATATATATGCAATGAACTGTACTGTGTAAATAATAAAATAGAAGCAGGTGATACATAGTCACAAACAATTTTGGTTTATGGCACCGCACTGAAAAAAGCCAGGCTTTGTTCATCAGAGATGCAGCATTTTTCAGTTATTTCATTAGTCAAGTACTGAGGCCAGGTTTTTCCTAATCTCTTCAGAAGACATTAAGACTTTTTTAGGTTTTACCAGCCAATGCCCACTGTTTAACTGCTGGCTGCTGCAGAGCCTGAACTTATTTCCAGTCCTGGTTAGCAATGGTTTAGATCAGGTGGGATGGCCAGCACAGCATTGCATCAGTTTGGAGATATGTTCTGTCACAAGAGATGGGCTGGCAGAGCCAGCAGTCCCTCTCACTGGAGAACCCATGCACTGATTTGTGCATCAGTGGGAAAGACCTGTGGGCAGGTGGGCCTTTTGGGCACTGGGCAGAATGGTAGGTGTCATAAGAGAGAGCTAGAGGGTGGGATGGGCTTGTTTGGTCCAATAGCTAAGGCCACAGATAAACACTTAGATAGCAAATGGCTGTTGTGGAATAAGTAGTCACTGCCACCCAGTTGTTTGCCATCACCCCGCTGGCTGCAGCGATTTCCTCCTCCCCCACAGGACTGGCGGCAGGGATCACTGATTCACACCTCAGTGCAGAAGCTGATGGTTTGGCTTCGGAGGCCGGCAAATGCGAGCTGGTGCTAAGCCTGCCCTTTTTACTAAAGCATCTGGCTCCTGCTGGCAAGAGGTGTAGACTTTATCAGAGAGGCAGGAACAAGGAGCTGGCAGCCTTAGTCTTCCATAGCCGTTGGCTACGCAAACCTGTGTCAGTGCTCCGAGGGCAAGATAAAAC